TTGTGAATATGTTGTGACTGTGTGTGCAAGTTATGTCTTGTAGGTTCTGCTTTGGATTCTTTGGTCGTATATATTATAATTTCTGTGTTTGATTTGATGTCTAGAGGATTGTGGTTGCCATAGTGACAGCACCATTTCTCCTTACATGTTGTGTGGGAGGCACGCTGGCATGTAAGGACAAGCATGTATGATATGCCTGTGTGTGGAGGCCAGAGGACAAGCTTGACTGTCATTCTTTGCGTGTGTGTGTGTGTGTGTGTGTGTGTGTGTGTGTGTGTGTGTGTGTGTGTTGGTGTTCTCCCCGCAAGTGTTTCTGTGTACTATGTGTGTGCCTGGTGCTCCCAGAGGCCAGAAGGGAGCAGGAAGTCCAGATGGCTGTGAGCTGGAGTTCAGGTGCTGGGAACTGAACCTGGGTCCCCTTGAAGAACAGCTGGTGCTGTTAACTGCTGAGCCATCTCTCCAGCCTGACTCTTAACCCTTGTTTTATTTCGAGAAGGAATCTCTCACTGCTCTGGCAGCCGTGTCTGAGGGACCTACCTGTCCCCACCTACGCAGGGCAAGGAGTACACACCCATACCACCCACACTTGTTTGCTTTCACGTGGGTTGTGGAGCTAGAACTCAGGTCCTCGTGCTCACAGAATTATAAAACATATGACCAAAGAATCCAAAGGCAGGGGCATTGCCCACCGAGCCCCTCCCCAGCCCCATGACATGACCTTCTGTACAGTGTAACATGTAGTTTTCCTCCGCCAGCCACTTGGGCTCTCTCACCGTTGTAGTCCCCAAATAACACACGGGAGGCTATATTAATTATGAAGCTGCTGGCCGTTTGCTTGTTTCTTACCGGCTAACCCATAATTGTTAATCTAAGTATTTCTCTTACCAGAGAAAAGGGTCCAGACATCTTACTTCTCTGGCGGGCTACATTGTGACTCACTGTGTTTCTCTTTCCCAGAATCCTCCTCGACTCCTAGTCCCACCTACCTTGCTCCTCTATTGGCCAACAGTGCTTTATTCAACAACCAATAAGAGACAGATTTACAGAATGACATCTCCCATCAGAACAGTTTTTCCTTAGGTCCACCCCTCCTTCTGTTTCTCCTTCCCTTCCCAGAGAAGCATACTGTGTCTTCTCGAGGCCCCGCTTGATGACAGCTACTTCCCTACGCATCTGGGTCCCGCCAGTCTTGGCAGGCTGCTGCAGCTGCTCAGTCGCGATAACCTCAAGTGAAACTCACCGCCTGCTTTTCCACAGCACCGTCTCCCTCTCGTTGGCTGTCGCCACCGCACAGCTCACCGTGTCCCGTGTAGCTACCTCTGCTGTGCTAACCCCATCTAGTCCAACCGTAATGACTCTGCTGTGCTGTCTCTACGCATCCGTGGCTTTAACCACACCTGCCTGCCAGACCTGTCCTGTTAAATGCATCCACCGTATTGTTGCGATCTAGACACAGCGCCTTCAGCTGCCAGCAGTTGTGTCTAAACTTATCTCTTGCTCACACAGTTAGGTCCAGGTGTCCAAAGCCCAGACGGTTCTACATCCTTGTATCTGGCAGACAGGGAAAGGGTAGGAGGAGAGAGAATTGTAGAGGGAGGTCAGTGAATTACCGTGGGACGCACCCTGTTAACTCTGTCTTTCGGTGACTGACAAGCCTGCATGATTACACACCACAGTGGTCCTCAGAGCGCTGCCGTCCTCATCTCTGAGCCTGAGAGGAGGCTCTGCCCAAGTGTGCTTCCGCCCCTTGGGTCACACCAGTCATCACCACCTTGGTTGGACTGTACATGCAGGCTAACGATGCCCAGTGATGTAAGGTCTAGCACGGGGCCCGGTGCATTGAGATTGAAATATTGCTGGGGTGGTTGGAAATGTGGTCCATGTCTTTCCTTTGTTGTCATGGCCTTTTGAATGTAGACTCTTTTGCTATGTTGCTGTCTTAGTTGGGGTTTTATTGCTGTGAACAGATGCTATGACCACAGCAACTCTTATAAAGGAAGACATTTAATTGGGGCTGGCTTACAGTTGTCATCATGGTGGGGCGTGGCACCTGCCCCAGGAGCAAGCCTATTGTATTCGGGGGAAAGCCTGGAGATTTAAATGAAAGACAAGACATCAGGCTGTTTGTGCTAAGAGAATATGGGCGTGTATGTATGTGTTTGTTGCAAGGAGGGAGCAGTCTTATATACAGACTTACAGCACAGTGGAGAAACCCCAGGGGTAAGAGTTCGTGTTCTCATAATTAGAGGTTGATGCCAGTGGGGCAAGGCCGGGGCTGGAAGCCAGAACTAGAAAACAGGATGCACCTGTGGTTATTGGCTGACAAGCAACTCACAGAGACCCCGTGGGGGCTGGGGCCCAACAGTGGGAAGCATGGTGGCATGCAGGCAGACTTGGTGCTAGAGAGGTAGCTTAGAGTTCTGCATCTGGATTTCACAGTCAGCAGGTGGAGATAATGACACTGGGCCTGGATTGAGCATCTGAAACACCAAAGTCCACCCCCCAGTGACACACTTCCTCCAACAAGGCCACACCTCCTAATAGTACCACTCCCTATGGGTCTATGTGGGTCTTTCCATTCAAATCACCACAGTTGCTGAGGCTGTTTTCAAACTCTTTGGACTTATCTGATCCCCCCCCGCCCCCTCAGCTGCAGGTAGCTGGGATGATTGGCACATGGTATTGTAAAGCCCTCAAAATCACTTTTCCATCCTGCTCTGCACCCTACCGAGGAGCAGGGATTGGCTGGTGCCTTGACACTGTGTCTCAACCAGAGTGAAGACAGCTGCTGGTCTCTAGGCTCGTGGAACCCTCTGGAAGCTCCAGGAAAGATACCAGACTGTCATGAGCTGTTTTCCCTATCCTCCCAAATTCCCATGTCCCTGGAATCAGGACATGCCATCGCCTGCAAACGCAGTCCTTTCAGATGTAACTAGCGAAAAGTTGTATGGCAATCACCTGGGCGGAGTATGGGTAACTCGTGTCCACACAAGAAGTGAGGACCTGGGAACAAGGGCAGGTGGCCACACAGAGAGGGAGGCAGTGGTCAGACCGGTGCAGCTGCGAGCCACAGGAAGGCCAGGAAGTGCCGGGAGCTGGAAGAGCCAAGGTCTAAGGCTTCCCGGGAACCTCCAAAGGGAATGCGGCCCTGCCAGCACCTTGATTTCAGAATTTAGGGCTGAAAATCCGTCAGAGATTATATCCCGGCTGCTTTAATCCATTCAGTCTGTGGGCATTAGTTACAGCCACCACGGGTGACACAAGCACTGTCGGACATGGAGTAGGTCAGTGTGCTGATGCTATATGGGGGCCAGCCTGCAGGCAAGGGTGGGGAGGAGACCAGGGTTCGATGTCCCTGTTGTCACTTCTGATCTCTCAGGAGACACACTTCTGTCCCTCAGCCCTGTTACAGCCTCCTTTTCGCTAGTGCCTACCGCATTCCTGTCACCATGCTGAGCTTTGGGACATCTCACTCATCACTTATAAGTGCAATAGTTAGGATATTTCTGTAACACTAGCCTAGCCTTTGAGATTTGTGACGTTGTCAAGGCTGGGTTGGCAGAGCCAGGGCCTGAACTTGAGCCTGCCACAATGACACAGAGCTCAGATTAATGAAACTGGCAGCTTGTGGCCGAGATCAGAACTCCTTCCCATCCACGCCTCTACCCACTTGCCCCCAGGCCCTCGAAGCAACTGTATCACATGAGCCCCATCCCTTGGTGGCCTGAGGTGCTCTCACTTGTTTAAATGGGCTTTGCACACTGTTTGTTCTATTACCTAGTGCTTAGGAGAAGGGTTGTAGTAAGTCCTACTGTGTGTGCTGGCTTACCTGAAGTGGCATGAACACATCTCTAAGCCCTACTGTGTGTGCTGTCTTACCTGAAGTGGCATGGACACTCCTCTAAGCCCTACTGTGAGTGCATGTCTTACCTGAGGTGGCATGAGGCATCTCTAACTCTGTGGAGTTTGGCTTCCGGTATATGCCACATCCCCTCCAATTCTCAAACATTCCCAAGAAAGCTTGACACTAATATTAAAAGCAAGAAAAGATCAGCTATCCTAGGATGTGTGTTTGTGAAGGGAGCTGCTAAAAAAACTCTGAGGTTTGTCTTTAAAGATTTGTTTATTCTTATTGATGTGTATGAATTTTTGTCTGACTATATGTATGTGCACCTGTGTGTGTGCCTGGTACCACAGAGGCCAGAAGAAGGTACTTGATCCCCTGAAATGGGAGTTGCAAACAGTTTTGTGAGCTGCCACGTGGCTGCTAGGAACTGAACCCAGGTCCTCTGTAAGAGCAGCCAGTGCTCTTAACATCTGAGTCACCTCTTCAGCCCCAAACTCTGAGAGGTCCCCCCCCCCACAAGATTTATTATTTGTTTGTTTTTTTTGCTTATTTATTTATTTAGTGAGTGTGTGCACATGTGTGTGTGTGTGCACATGTGTATACTACATACAGCAGTGACTGTGGAGCCAGAATAGGGCATTAAATTCCCGGGAACTGGAGCAACAGGCAGTTATGCGCCACCCTACCGTTGCTGGAACTGAGCTCTCGTCCTCTGCAAGAGCAGCCGGTGCTCTGAACTGATGAGTCATCTCTCCAGCCTGAGTTCTGAGTTTTGAAATCTAATATTTAATCTAGGGTAGTGCTTTCTGTGTGCTAAAAAAATGGCATTGTACTCAGTGTAACAGCCAGTCTTCATTTGGGGATTGACTATGGTTCCCACAAGCAAGTCTTCTCTTCTGATTAGTAGCTTTAGTCTCCACAGGACGTGCTCTTTAAAAGCACACCCTATTTCTAAGCGTGTTTGCCTCTGCAGTAATGTACTCCTCACTTCCCAGTGACCCCAGTGAGAACACAGGACCTCACCTGCTGGGCCCACACAATGCTGGCTTTCTGGCAGGCCTGTGCTTTGGTTGCCATCTCCTTAGGGGACAATTTGTCTATGGGGGGCTGTCCAGGCATGCTAACCATTCTTCCTCTTTGTCTCTCCACACAGGCTGGCCGTGGGTGACCCTATCTGTCCTGGGATTCCTGTACTGCTATTCGATTGTGGGTATCGCCTGGGCTCAGACATACACAATTCTCTAATTCTGCTGGTCCAGGTCAACCTTGGTGTCAGTCTTCAAGGGACATTTTACCCTGGACTTCTCGACCATCCCTGAAGGACCACTCCAGGACCATCCCTGAGGGACCACCTTCCTCTGAGACCATCCCTGAGGGACCAACTTCCACTCATCTTCTGATGAAGATGCTTCATTCAGACTCTGACAGCTTAATCTATCACAGAAAATGTACAGCCCAAAAATCTTCTAATTTTGGAGCCTCAAAGATTACCTACTACCCCCATAGGCTTCCTGGGGCATAATCTAGAGTCTGGAGCAGTCTTGGGTCTTTCCCAACTACACTTGGTGACATTTGCTCTAGACCCTACCGTAGATCCATTGGGTTCTTTACCAAAGATTCAATGTGGTGGACACTTATTGTTTGGGAATGGAAGTCCTAATCAGGGATGCGGGTCTGCCTCTCCGAGGCATTCTGTGATGTCTTGGCAACCCCTTTTCATGTTCTGCACCGGGGACTCTGGGCTGGCCTGCACATGGATGGTTCTTAGCAAGGAGGTGGCAAAGCCACAGTCATGTCTCAGGTGGCCTGGCTGGAGTGGGAGATGCATAGGTGGGGTATTGCAAGAAGTCCTGGAGTTTGAATTTTACTGGGGCACCCACATGCAGCTGCTGTTCTCTAAGACCTGTAGCCATGGAGTAACACGGCTGTTCCTTTCACAGCTGTCCTGCATGGCATGGGAGTCTAAAAGCTAGAGAATGTGTGTGTCCACAGACAGATGCTTTTGGGAAAGTCCTCAGCGAAGGGTGGTGTCCCAAGGTCCCACACGCTGTGTGTTTTGCTTAGTGGGTTTTATTGCCTTATTCTCATTCAGATAAAGCAGAGCTCTTTTGCTACATAGATAATTCACATTTTTTTCTGGACTTACTTTGGATATTTTTAAATAAAATTTTTTGAGATATAAATACATATAACTTGACCCTTCATCCCTCCAGACAGATGTTGGGCAGGCTGCCTCTGACAAGTGGCCAGTGACAGTGATTCTGCCTGGTTTCACCGGGGAGAAGTCAAGGGAAGAGGTCTGTGTGTGGAGTTTGGGACAAATGCTTAATACCCCAACTATAAGAATTGTTATTGCGTGACAATTAGGTGAAAGAACCAAGGGGCTTAGCGCCATTTCATTTTCTACAGGATATTATCCTGAGTCATCCCTGGGAATATCAACTCAGTGTAACATGAACCCTTACATGGCACACCAGTCACCAGGTAGATCCTCATCATGCTTGGAAGGGATGGGAGGGGGCAGATGTTGATGGCCTGGGGTGAGAATGCTGTGCCCATTTGGACAAAGCACAAACCAGAAAGGGGCAGGTAAGCTGGGCATTATTAACCTCAGCTAAGTGGTGAGACCCTTGGCAGGCAACTGTGGGGTACTGGGAAGTTCTAAGGATTGGGGAGAGTAAGCATTGAAATAAGTGTTGTGCAGTCTCACGGACCAACAGAGTAAGGACCTGTGATTAGCCGGAGCAAGTCTGGATGAGGCCTTCAAATAGGGATAGAGCTTGCTAAGAAAAACCTAGTGGATACTAACTGTTAGTTCTTTGTGTGGAGTATCCAGGACTCACGCTGTCCTGCCCTTCCCTGCTCCCCACTGTGACATGACAGGATCACCTTCTTCTAGTCTCCACTCACTGTAAACAGACTCTTGAGGCTGGCTTCTGGGCAGCCATCAGTCATCTGGCCCTGGCAACTTCAGCAACGGTTCTGGAAAAACACTGGATAAGGTCCTGAGTCACTGACAGCCAAGGACCCTCTACCCTGACAGCTCCATGAGCAAGGCCAAGAGTTCTAGTCAACTCCCAAGACCATACCCAAGGAGGGAGGCAAGATGCTCAAAGCCAAACTAAGTCCTGTCATCATCATGATCAATTCTTGGAGCCATACAAATGCTGAATGACATTATGCTTTCAGGTTTTATGAGATGATCTTTGTTCTATTGAAGATGACGGTCTAGAGAGAAAATTACCTATACCTGCAGGTTCTTGCTGTTAGCCAGTGTTTGCGGAGGTGGGGAAGGGAGGGACTACCCTTCCAGGAACTGAGACTGTTTACTTCTCTAAAATACAACTACTGTCTACGTGCTAGAAATTAACTATGATGTCATGATTTTACCTTTAGCAAACCCATTGGTGTATGTATACAATAGGGTTGGTTCCTACCTGCTACCCCAAAGGTATGAGTTAGTTTTGCCTCCATTTCTAGTCTAGGTGATGAATTACAAAACTCTTATTTATGTTTTTTTATCACAAAAGATGTGATGAATGTCCAGTCCTTTGTTAGCAATGCATTTGAAATGAGCATTCGGTACCTGGGACTTTAAACAATATCATCATTAGTTTTGCCGCGACCTTCTGTGATATAACGACACAGAGGACTGAAGGAGTATCTTTAAAATATCCTGTGTGAAGGTGAGTGCTGTAGCTTGAATGTGGCTTGTCTGCTCCAATGCCGTTGTGATGGGAGCAGAGCCTTTGTTGGGGTTTGGCTGTGAAGGACCCAGATCTTTAAGACCCGGATATAAGAGGCAGCTTCACAGGCTCCCCAGGGCAGAGCCAGAACTTCAGTGAGAACATCGCCGTGCCGTCCTGTGGATGCTCAGTGAATAGTGCTCAGACAGGAAGCCTGCTGTCTCTAGAACGTTATTCCCCCCCCCCCAATTCATTATAGGTTCACATCAGTGGTCAACTTAACAGGACCTAGAATGATTTACGAGACAAATCTCTGCGAGGGATTGCTATATCCGGAAGACACACCTGGAATCCCCAGGCTGCAGAAAAGCAGAGGGAGCTGAGCCCCCAGCACCCACCTCGCTCTATGCTTCTGTGACCAGCTGCCCCAAGTTCCTGCTGTCATGACTTCCCCCATCATGATGGACTGCTCCCTTAAGCCATGATCTAAAATAATCCTTTCTACCAGTTGATTTTTGAATGAAAAAAAAAAGAAATACAAAGTAAATTACTGCTCTTGGGTATGGTGGAGGAGAGAGTTTATTACGGACATGTGGGTGAGCATGGCTGGAGGCAGGGATGTCTGGGAGAGTGCAGAGTGGACATGACCCTGAACCATGTGAGGAGGGGAAGAGAAGGGAGAGGAGAAAGGGGGGGACCCAGGTGCAGCAGCCAGGAGGCCCAAAGAGGGGAGGGATAATCAAAATGGTTGGATTATACAGGGAAGAGCAGCCCAGCTGCCTGGGCTGGAGAAGTATAGGGTAGGGAGTGGGGTATGCCAGCCAGGACAGCCCTGTAACAGGTAGTGACTGAGGGATACAGGGAGGACCTGGCATCCAGTGTGGGCTTTGATATGTTAGCCATCTGTCCCGGGTTTGAAACTTAACAGCTTTTGCCTGCTCTCTTCTCACTGCAACAAGAGAGTCGATGGATGCAGAGGCACCACCTCCATCACAGCCTCCCAGATCCATTTCTTAAGAAGATTTATTGTTTAGTGTGTGTGTGTGTGTGAGAGTGTGTGTGTGTGTGTGTGTGTGTGTGTGTGTGTGTGTACAGGTGCCTCAGAGGCCAGAAGGGGGCGTTAGATCAACCAGAGCTGGAGTTGTGGTTGACTGTAAGCCAGCCACTCATGTAGCTCGTGGGAAGCAAGAACAGACTGCCGGAAGAACAGAAAGCATCTTCCTGGAAGACGTGGAAGGAAAGGCAAACACGAGTGTCACGTATAAAATAGTTTATTACCATAATAAATAAAATTAAACTTTTTTTCTTTTTACAAATATCATTTGTGCTTGTTTAAAAATGTCGAGAAGGGGGTACCATCCATGGAGTGCCCAGCTGCTCTTCACATCCCGCACCACAGGCACACAGCAGAGCTCTTGGCAGCATCCTCAGCTGACCACAAAAATAGCCTCAGCTCATTTGCACTTCCATTTATTCATGCTCATTCGGACAGAAGGAAAAAAGAAACGAAAAGCCCGATAAAGGATTTGGCAGGATCTGATGGCGAGGTGCTCGTATGAGAAGCCCCCAGAATGACGAAACTGCTCGTGGATATAAATGTCCTTGCAATGTGGACAGTCTCCAACTGATGCGCAAACACTGCGTCTGAATATTAAGAGGCTACATTCGTGAGGGATGTTGGGTTCCTACCATAAACGCAGTCTGTCTTCTGATAGGAGAGCTGCAAACTTCTCAAGGACCAATGGGTCAGTTGGATGACTGGGAAGTCACAGAGAAAGAGTCAGTGGCTCTAAGGAAGGGTGAGTGGCAGGTGGAGGACCCCATCCCCCACCCCTGCCAGGTCTGGCAGGAATTCAAGGTTATCTTTAATGGTGAAGTTTCACTAGAGACTGACAAGCTGCAGGTGAACTCACATTGGTTCCTCTGAGCTGTGGGAGGTGGCACAGAATGTGACTCAACACCGATGCCTTGTGGGAAGGGTCCCTCTTGAGAGCTTAGGGCCAGTGCCTCAGGGACACTGGAGACTCCTCCAGGTGGAGAGCATGGGAGCTGGTGAAGACAGTTTTTACTGAAGCGAGTAAGAAGGCAGTATATGGAGCATTAGCAATGACAGGGACATTTAGATAGGAGAGGCCTCCGGAGGGCTTGAGGGAACGTAGGCAGGCCTCCTTTCTAAGCGACGCCAGGAGAGGGGGTAGGAAGGGGCACTGGCACCTCCATTGCAGCTGGAGTTCCATTCAAGGGTCTTAAGGCTAAACATCTTTATTGCAAAACAGTACAACTTAATTGCGTGTACATCTACAACTTGTACCTTCGCCAGGGCTCCTGAGAGACCCTGGAGTGTACCTATAAGATGTCAGTGTGACAAGGAGAGGAGGCTCTGCCTCTGATTGGTATATCTAAAGAGTCCATTCAGTCCCTATTCCAACCTGGACACACCTGGCATTTGGCTTAATATTCTCTCCTTCCACCTAAGGATCTGGAAACTGAAGTCTGTGCGTTGGGTGGTAAGGTATTTCTAGTTCTTGCCCAACTGCCCCCACTGTGGAAGTAGCAGAGGCTCCAAGAGGTGGAGGCTAGCACAGGCTCTCGGAACCAGATAACAAGAGACAAATGTGTTTCCAAACGTAACAAAGTAACAAATTAGTTGCTGCGGAGCCGTAAGTATCATTAAGTGGTAGAGCTCTTCCCTGACATGGACAAGTGCCTGACTTTGACCTTCAGCACCAAAAACAAAAAAGAAAGCCTGTTGCAAGGCTGGACTCGTGGAGTTAGCTGGGCCTAGACCAGAGCATTGCAAAGCCTGTCATGTGCCTAGTGGAGGAAGCTGCAGCTGCCTCTGGGATGGCATGGCTGACGAGGCTGCATGCCTACCAAAACCAGAACACTGACTCTACCATTTTGGTTCTGAGGCCTGGCCCACACTATTGCAAGCCCTCAGGGAGAAAGCAGGCCCATCAGTCCAAATAGGACTGCCTCCCTTCAAACTAGCCTGTCAGGATAGCCACTGGGAAATGGGGTTTCACTGTGGATGGCATTCACAGTAGCTCATCTACAGAGACCAAGTGGCCAGCACTTACCGGACAGGGACATACCACATCACGTGCTTTGTCCTCTCCAAAAGGACAATGTGTCTCTCTGCATAATTGTTTTCTGAACTCTCACTGTTCACTCTGATACCCAATAACTCTTTTTGTCCCCAGTCTCCCTTCCCATACAAGATGATGCTTAAGATAGGAAGGTACAGGCCACTGGTATCTGAATCTTGTGGTCCTTGCTCAAGACACAAGATGTGTCCTCGTAAAGGTGTAAGTTGGCACAAAAAGGCCTCTGGGCCAGTGCATGCCGTGAAAGTAGAGAGAGATGGGTTGGCTCATTTAAAATTTATTTCAGAGACGGCAACCATAGCGAAAATGCTGTAGAAGTGAAGAAAAATGAGAACCACGTGTCCTTCACTCTCACCTCCAGGAATTCTTAGGCCCTGAACTCCTAGAACCCCAAGATGAGTAGAGGCACCCCTTGCAGAGTGTAGACCTCAGTCTAACAGGACTTCAGCCCAATGTGCACTGACCCCAGAGTGCAGCCCGAAGCTTTATCTGTCTCCTGACACAGGGGTGGGCTCTCCAGCAGCTCCACCATCTGGGTCACCCAGATCCAGGGAGCTACACATCTTAAGGAGATGAACTCACCCCATCAGAAAGATCTGTCAAGGAGCAGCAGGACCTCTGCCCACTGGCTGGCTAGATGCTGGAGGGCCCACTAAGTCCCAGAGAGTTCCAGAAGGACCTCTAGGAGCAGGTGCATCCGAGGCTGAGTGCTGCATGACCATGGGGTCCATCCTACCCCAACCTTAATGCTCCTAAACTTTAAAACCAGGCTAATGAGTGTGTGTGAGGAGTGGCCCTGTTGGATATTCAGGGGGCAGCTGGCATACATGACTCCAGTATTTCAGTCTGTTCCAAGGGGTAGCTAGCAGCAGCTCAGGAGACTGTAGGTCTCACTTTACCCAGAGCCACCAGTGGGGATCTCTGAGTGCTGCCACCTGACACTGAACATACTATTGTCTTAGTCTAGGGGTTCCAGGATCCAGCCCTTACGCATTGTGTTAAAAGCTACATGTGTGCACACCCTTGATCTCCCAGGTCATCCATTCTGTACAAACAGCCATGCGTCAAAGTCCCAGCATGTGCTGTGGCCTCCAAGCAGAACACTAAGCATCTTTGGTAGGGCAGGTCTCGAATGTCACGTTCCCTAGACAGGCTGACTGACATTTTGAATTGCGACAGTAAAGCAACACTAGGCAGAGGAACCCATGTCACTCACTCCCCTAACTGCTCTTTCAAATCTCACTGGCTGCAGAGCTGAGCTTCCAGGCTCCCCTGGCAGAGTTAAGTCCCTTACAGTTCTCCAGGTATGCGCCTGAACTAGCGCCTTTGTCCTGTGTCCTGTCCAACGCCATCAAGGAAAGACCAAGCAACCTGACCTCGAGTGACTGAGGCAGCAAGTGTCCCTGAGCATCACGATGTGGGATCCTGGAGGCTACAGACATGGCCCTGTGACCATGGCTCTGAGCCCCAACCTTTCCCGAGACCACTGTCCCACTGTCAACATCCCCCAGCTTATCACGGAGACATTTTGGAAACCAGTGTGTCATTCTCTTTCTCCAGCTCCCTAAGAGAGAACAATCATGGCCCTGCCATAACTTTTAGAGGAGGAAATAGGTTGGCTTTCAAATAAGGCTAAGTGTGGCTCCCATGTGACCTTTAATGACCCCCACTCACTGGGCAAAAATCCCATGAGAATCAAAATAAAAACCTAGTACTTGCTACAATCATTTCTTTGAGGTTGTGTGTGTGTGTGTGTCTGCTTTGTTTGTTAGGAAAGCAACGCTGGCCTCCCGCCCCTTCCTTTTGGTGCCCCACACCCTGAGGAAAGCCGTGGGCAAACTTGGGAAGAGGACGAGGGAGAAGCAGGGGAGCATCCCACGCTGTGAGGCCTGTAGCGTGCTGCAGCGCCAGACGGTCACCTGGGTCTGGGAGCTTTCACATTGTCAGCCGTCCCACAGGGCAGGCTGTGGACCACACAACAGAGCCTGCTCAGAGCCTAGGGCCCTCTCGGCTTACCCTGGCCTCATCCCTTCAGGGCAAGGAGACCTGAGGAGCCTAGCCTGTGTGTCTGTGGCGTAACACCTGTCACCAGAGTGGGAAGGCTCTTCTGTCCATCAAGCTTCCCTTACTGAGCGCTTGTTACAGATGACAAGAGTAGAAAAACTGGTGGTGATGTCGGACGTGGGCACACAGGGGTGGAGAGTGCCCAGAAGTCCCAGTGCCTGTCCTGGACTTCGAGGGAGCTTGGTAAAGCGGCCCAATGTGGTCTATCCTTGAGAGGTTCCTGGGACTCTCCTGTCAGTCTCTACGTGGCTGCTGCCCCTTTTCTGGTAGTTTTAGTCTTTCATGAATATCACATCAGTAAAACATTTGAAAGGAATTGCTCTCTAGACAGATGGCGTTCCCCTTCCTCCCTGACTCTCAGTGGTTGTTGAGACGAAGCTGCCGTCTTGCAGGGTGGGCACCTGACAGTGTTCCTGCTTACATTTTCCAGAGACCACGCAGCCACACCAATGCCCCCTTGGTCCCACTTTGATTTCCTGTCAGGAAAGGCTTGCTTTGGACACTGTTGGTCATGTGGGCGGTGTGGTTGGTGAGGGGTGTTGAGGGCAAGGGGGCAGGCTTTTGTCTTATGACTTTTGTTTGTTTTGAAATGACCCTCTCAGCTTGCTCCAAAAATGTCTCTGTCGGACTCTGGGGACTGGGGCCTGGAGATCTCACGTGTCTCCTGAGGAGACTGGGCGGGCCCTCTGGACATGAGCATCCTGAGTATCTCAGAAAGTTGCTTCTCGATGGCGGTCATCTTGGCGTTCAGGGCCTTGATGTCCTCCTTTAGCTCATGCTTTACCTCCAGAACCGTGGCCTGCAGCGTCTGCTCGGGGATGGGGTAGAAAGAGTGCTTGACCTCGGCCAAGATGGGGCTCCGGTCCTGGGGACTCCTAGCCTCACCCACATTGTCCAGGCGCAGGTCGCTCTTGGTGATGCCGCTGTCACAGGAGTCCGTCTTCTTCAGGGTGGCCTCCCCTGCCGCCTTTGTCCTCTCGGGCAGCGTCTCCATGGACTCTGCCTTGGATACCTTGTTCCAGTCCTCACCCTTTCCGCAAGCATCTTTGAAGCGGGCCCAGCCTTTGCGCTTGGCGCAATCACCGCTGCTGCCTGCCTTGGGACCTAGGCACTCAGACCCTGGCGCGTGCAGCCTGGCGTGGTCTGAAACCGTGGAGGTGGAGGCCGCCTGGAAGGACACGGGCGTGGCAGGGCTCTCGCGCACCGTGACCACGCTGGCCTTCACCAGGCTATGGTTGGCTGAGGTGTGGTCCGCGAGGGCGTTGCCCTTCTCCACATCCAGGTCTTCCGGGTCCCGGCCCCCTCGCTCTGCTGCCAGCCTGGCCTCTTTCTGCTGGCGGAACCTTTGAAAGAGCCTCCTGACAGGGTGGTCGGGAGGCAGGATGAGGGGCGCCTCATTCTTCCTCTTCATCCGCTCCTCCTCTTCCCGCTTCACGTCGCTGATCTTCCGGAACACGATCTAGAGAGGGAAACGGCACCGTGTTAGCTGGAAGGAGCTCCGGATGCCGAGCGCGCGTGCGCGGTCAACACAGCCACCAAGGGCTGCAGCCCACAGCACATTCACAGCCCTGCAAGCCCTCGGGACCATGCCTGGCTGACGTCCCCTTCCTTCTCCCATCCTGGTTCTTACAGCTCTCCAGCATCAGAGCACTGGGCTCCCGCTGCTATCCTGCTCAGGAGGAACAAAGTCCACCTCCATGTGGGAACCTGGCTGCTGAGCTGCCCCCTCCCAGGACTCCTAGTAAATTAGAAAACCACTGAGCCTCTAAGATGAAAAGCCCTGGGGACTCTGGTCACGAAGTTCAAACATCTTGAGTCTAAACCACATTGCAGGGTAAGAAAGTTAGCTTGCATCACCCAGTTTCTTTGGGTTAACCTAAGAACAAAGACTCCTGGCCTCGAACCCATGCTTGTCGTAACAGTAATGCCCGACACTTGGTTAGCGCTTGCAGTCCGTAGGCATTTCTGTGTTATCTCACGTATTCCCTATCACAAACAAGGTCGAGGGCACACATAGCACCCCGAATTTAGAAATGATGAAAGCAAGACCCAGAGTGTCTGAATGTTGTGTGATACAGTAAGCCGTCTACATGGGTCATACGCCCAAGCCATTGAACCCCGGGTCTGTTGACATCACTTCATTCAGATGGCCCCTCAAGATCTACTACACATAGTGGCATCCTGCTCAGCCTGCAGTCGATCCCCAAGGATGCGTGTCCTTTCGAGACATGTCACAGTGGCGGTTAGACTCCAGGACATGCTCCAATGCCATGGAAAGCACCTGGGTCAGGCTGTCCTCTGTGTATGGGTGCTGGCTTGAGGTGCAGAAAAACAGCTTCTCCGTTTTCCTCACCTGGAGCACCTGTGTCCCTGCAGGAAGCCCCAGGCCAGCCCTGAATCTGTCCTAGAATGTGTCATAGACCCCCCCCACCCCAGGCCTTGGTGAGGTACATGTGGTGACATGCCTCTTGCATGCCCTTCGGAGTCAGACAAAGTGTTTTAAGACCTTTGCCGTATGTACCAGACGTCTTCACTAAAGTAGGAGAAATCTGCTTGTCAGACTGAAGTGACTGAGCAATTGCATTCAGTTCTGTTGTCCACGTTCCTTCAAGGACCCAGGTGCACGGGAACTATAGCCTGCTCCACCTCCTCCAAGGGCCCTGGCTGTTAGTACTCTCTGCTAACAGCACTCAGTAGGTTTTCACATATGACCAACAGGAAGACTGTGCCCTACTCGACACGGAGAACCCCAATAAACACAGATTGCTTGACGCTAGCGATCAGCCAGCCATCAGTGTCACTGGTTGCTGCCTCTGTCCTGACACCTTGGTCAAAGCACCTGTCACTAGGTGGCTTCACACCAAGGCCAATGGCAAGTAGATGTCACATTGTCAGGCCACTTGCACGGATCCCCATTTGTGGCTTTCCCGTGCTCACTGGGCAGCATTTCTCTCATTTAGTCCCAGACTGGCCCTTGCCTTCACCAGCTGAGGTTCTACTCCCTTTGTTTGTCCCTCATGAGTTGCCTAGATCTATGGGTACAGCTAGGGAACTCAGAAGAATCCTTATCCACTTTGAGAGGACCAAAGAAACCCAACCACAAACATCTGAGGGCAGAGGGATAGCAGTAGGAGAGCAACCATCACCCTCCCCGCAGTGCCTCCAAACAGGTTCTCATCAGGTCTCTAAGTCCCGCTAGCGGAGACCCACAGCAAGCTTCCGCAGAGAGCCTGCCTCATCCCGCTTGCCTTGTAGTTCTGACATCTTTCGTGTTCACCCAACTCTATTTTCCTTATTCTCAACCTTGCGCCTGACGGGAGCATGTAATGGGAGCTTGTGATTTCTCTGCCTAGGTGGGTTCTACTGGTTCGGTTTTCTCTCCAGCCACTGGGTCCCACAGCCAATAAGAAATAACCATTCTGAGACTTAATATCCGTTATAATTGTTTAGTAGCAATGGGACTCCCCTTTTCTTAGAGGGGGACAGAGAAAGGTGACTGGATGAAGAGGAAGCAGATGAGGACATTATGGTTATGGGAGTTAACTGTTGTCCTAAATTTCTACAGCATACCTGACTCCTGACATTTGTCTCCCAACTCCATGGCTGTGGGAATATATTATTTATGGTTTATTAAAGCTTGCATGAGGGTACAGAAAGCAAAGCCAGCCACACTAGTTAGCTATAGAAACCAGGTGGTGGCGACCCATGCCTTTAATTCCACCACTTGGGAGGTAGAGGTAGATGGATCTCTGCTAGTTCAAGGCCACGCTGAGCTACAGGAAAATTGATCCAGTCCTAAAGAGAGACAGCTCACACAAAGATGATCTCGGCTCTTGGGATTGCATGCTTTTAATCCCAGCACTAGGGAGGTATAAAGGCAAAGGGTCTCATGTGGAGATCGAGTCTCCAGCCATGTTGAGGAGAGCATAAGCAGTCTGGGATTGCAATCCAAGGTTCAGTTAATCGCCCTTTCGGTCTGCTTCTCTGATCTTCAGCTTGAAGCTTGAACCCCAATATCAGCCTCTGGGTCTTTTATTTTTTGTGTTACACATGGCCTTTGCTAGCTGAGTGAGACTGAATGGGTTTCTACTCTTCCGGAGCAAGACACTAGCTGCTTGTGTCTGCATCAACCCCCACTGAAAACCCTAAGGACTTAGAGCAGGGCTCTGCCTGCATGCCACATTATCTGTGACTTTAAATTTCCCGTCACCTGACCCGCCAGAGCGGTGTTTGTCTGCTTTGTCCATGAACAGCTCTGCGGAGTGCCTAGGATGCTCTCAATTCATATCCACAGGATAAATGAGTGGGAGCAGGTAATACTGGCTAATGAGCCAGAGGGAGAATGTCCCTGACCCGGAAAGATGACACTCCAGAGGTCATGGTGTCGTAACAGGAAAGGCTTGGCTCAGGGCACATGGCTGATTTCTCTGTGTGTGTGCTGAGTCAAGGGCAGCCCTTGATGCTTCAGATGAGCTGTGCCCGGACAAGGGGAGGGAAGTTCTGCGGATATCCAGAAGGCATCACGGAACTCTCCCTGGGAGGTTGCACGTTGTAAGTGTCCAGATAGGCTTTCCAAGGCTTAGAAGCACCCACCGAAGTGTGCACAGGAAGAGGGCCTATGTTGAGCACTTCAGTGGGCCCTGGCTTAGAGTCTGGGACTGACCCAGACAACATCTGAAGAGATGGTCTGGGGTCTGGGTCAGCCCAGCAATTCAGCCAGGGCCTCTCCTTGGGAACCAGGTTTCCAGGTCCATACTGCCTGTTTGGGAACCTCTGGCCTCTGTATGAGGTCCACACCAAGAGGCAGGGGAAAACACACACACACACACACACACACACACACACACACACAGCCCCTTGGACAGAAGCACCCCTCCCCCACCGGGGGACGAGGCTAAGGGCTGATGTGGAGCTCAGGGAGCTTTTTTGGTTTCATCTGCTGGTTTGAAGTCATTAGCGGAATCTGTGCCAGCGGCAGCCGTGACCGTGCATTTTGACGAGCACTTTAGATAGAGTGGATAGGGCTATCTGCGTGCAACTGGTAGCAATGAGGTCTACGTCACCAGGCTCAGCACTCACCCATCTGCCCAGAGACAGTCACAGCTCCCCAAGGCAGGAGTGTGCCTGAGCCTCCGACCCTGCAACCCCAATGCTTTCCGTGCAGAGAAAGCTCACACAGTTTCAATCCACTGTAAGGCTTCCTGGAACCTGAGGGTGCAAACGTACCTTAGGCATGCTGGGAGGATAGCTACATTCAGAATTTCTTTTATTTGGGTTTACTTATTTTTGCGTGTATGGGTGCTTTGTCTGCCTGCGTGCCTGTGGTGTCACCTGCATGCAGTGGCCGTAGAGGTCAGAAGAGGCAGTGGGGTCCTCTGGAACTGGAGTGACAGATGGCTGCTAGCCACCACGTGGGTGCTGGAAATAGAACCTGGGTCCTCTGAAAGAGCAGTCAGTGCTCTTATTTGCAGAGCTATCTCTCCAGCCCTGTATGCGTGATTTCTTAATCCAATTCCCCAGAATCCCTCTTTCAAATAAGTAGCATTTCCCAGAATTCCCTCAGTCTATGGGGTGGGGCACAGGCTACACAGTGCCTCAATACTGTTGCACCTTGGAATTGAGGGTGTGGGGGTCTTCCCTGCAGAGGCATCGCTCCATTGGCGGGTCTGCATTGATCCAAACTCTAAGACTCAGCTAACGGGACCTGCACGATATGGTCCCAACTCAACTCTCCCCAATCTTCCTAGATAACTTCAGGTCCCAGGCAAAGCTTGGTTCACTCCGTCCGAGGCCTCCTCCTATCACACATTCTACTCTGGCTTTCCAACTGGTCCTTACTGTGATCTCCAAGACTGAACTTAGCAGTCATCTATTCCAACAACCCTCCCTGTCAGGCCAACTCATGGTGAGAACACCCTTCCCAGCTGGTCACTTTCTAAAGACAGTAGCTCTCTGAAGGCAGAAACCGCCATGTTTTCCATCTTCACCACGCCCGGCATCTACAGCCTTCAAACATGCCAGTGCCCAAGGTGTGACCATTCCCACTTATGAAGCCAATGCTCTGCATAGGATGCTATCCACATGTCCCCCCCAAATCTGCTTCTGATGTGTGCGATCCCATGAAGAAAGAGGAGGTAAGCAGTAGATTTATTCTATGCACAGTGCGTAGGCTCTTCAAGTGTAGTATGTATGTAAAGCAAACTTCTGAAGGACTTCCATTTACCTCTATCATTTCAGGCCCAACTTAACTGACTCCATTATCTCTGCCTGACTTGTTTTCAAATCCTTACATGACCTCAGGGAGGGGATGTTTAGAAGGAGACCTAATATACATTTTATTTTTTGCAATGAGGACAGCTGTTCTTGAATGTTCCTTTGGCTACAAACTTGGATCCTCTCAGGGAAGACCATGCAGTTTCATGGGAAGGGCCTGGCTGGGGGACCCAATGACTGGAGTTC